CCGCCGATGGAGGTGCGCCCAGGACAATGGCTTTACCAATCCTATATACCTTTAAGTTATATAGGATACCTTTTAGATACCCTACCTACCTAAGTTATTATATTATAAGAAGAATATTATCCTAGCTAGTAATAGTATTTAAGAATATTGCACTTATTATTATTTTAAGCTACTAATTTAGTTCTAGTAGCTACCTAACCCTATAACTCTATAGTTAGAATAGCTATTAGAACTTCTAATAACTAAAGCCTATAGGCTTAGACTTCTAGACCTATAGGTAGTGCTAGATTACCTTTAGAAAAATCGCGTTAGATTATATTAAGGTAGAGACCTAGAGACTACTAAAAGCCTAGAGGAATTAGAGGTAAAGCTAATATCCTCCTATAACTAAACCCCCCCCTAAAGAAAAGATTTATTATTCTTATTAACTATAAAATATTAGATAAAGGTAAAGAAAAGGTATCTAGTTTAGCTACTTTTAAAAGCCTATTTACTAATAGAAAGAAATTAGATAAGGAAGACTTAATTAACAACGCCCTCCTTAAAGGACCTGCTTCCTATCTATCTCTTAAGGTACCTTATGCTCCTAGGAAATCTTAAAGTAATACCTCCCTTAAAGATAAATATATATTAACCCTATCTAAAAAGAAGAGGTTAAAGGAATAAGTTAAGTAACTTACTAATTAGTTATATAACACCTCCCTCTATAAGGAGATATAGGGTACTACTTAACCTAGCTAGTCTTTAGCTTCTATATTAAACCCTATAGTATATACTATAAAAGCTAAGAGATAATCTAAAAAGATACTAAATATCTCTATACTTAGTAATAGTGCTAACCCTACTTTTAAATAATAGCAAGCATCTATTTAGGATAGGCTAGAGATTAATACTAATTACTACCCCTCTTCTAGAGCTTAGATAGCGTTAGTCTAGGGATACTACTTAGGACTAGTAAAAGAATACTTAAAGCTATATTACCTATCTAATTCCTTAAGTCTTTAATTCTAAAAAGCTAAGGAAATAATTACCCTTCTTTAAACTTACTTTATTACTAGAAATAAGATAGCTAAGAGTTAGACTATATTTAACTACCTATATATAACTAATATAGAGATATTTCCTACTTTTAAGTTATAATTCTAGAGTCTTGCTATTAGAGGAGAAGTACCCTAATTAGAGTAGTATTACTACCTCTAGATAAAGATTACACCTTCCCTAAGGATGCTAAACCTTGCTTTCTAACAGAATTAGCATAATAATTTTAAGACTATAGTAGATTATCTTACTACTTTTAATATAGAACACTACCTATACCCTACCTTATCTACTCCTACCTAGACTACCCTATTATCTAGAAAAGGACTAACCCCCTTCTAACACTCTAGAAACTAGTCCTATTTAGACGCTAATTAGAAACCCTATAATAGATCTTTAATAGCTAAACCTTATATGCCCTACTTATAATAATAAGGCACTACCCCTTAAAATAATTAACCCCTATCTGCTACGCTAGCCACTCCTAGCGCTACTATAATAGGAACCCTAGTAAGCTTACGTATAATTATAGAAAGACCTAGGCTAACACTACTACTAAGCAAACACACTAGACACCTATAAAAAGGCGTGGAGGGCTTATCTCTCCTTTAAGATACTAAATACTATTATTAACGCTTATTATATTCTCCCTTAAGGCTAGTTTATAATATTTTAGTATCTTCTTCTAAATATACTATAATAGTAATAAGAGATAGACACGCTAGATATTTAGAATAACTAGGTGCAACCTAATATAGTAGAAAGGCTAATATAATAGGTCTATAGATTAATAGAATAATAGGCTTAAGACTCTACTATAATAGCTATACTATATTAATAGAATAAGGAAATACGTAATTAGATTCTATCCTAACCCTCCTCTAAGCCCGCTAGGTTTAATAACATGCTACCTCTGCCCTCTCCTACCTTATATTGCAAACCCTTCCTAGTTAGCTTACTATATAATAGCACTAAGGCAAACTTCTCCTCCTAGTAAATAACTATAGAGTTTAAACTACGTGTAGACAAGGTCTTTATTAGGGATAAAGAGGCAAGGTTTATATATATTTAGTCCTAGTTATTACCTATAGTCTAGCGCGCTATAGCACTATACTTTAAGGATAGTACACGTAAGCGTTAGGATATAGGCAGGTTTCTTAACTACCTAGTATTCTATTATAGCAACTATTATAGGCAGGAGCGCGCCTAAGTCACGTTAGAACACTTATATTAGGGCTAAAATTAGCCTTTTATAAAGTTTTTTGTGAATTTTGTGTAGCTCCTTATATAGTTAGGAGGTTTATACTAGGATAATAAATAAAAGCTTTTATAACTTTAGTAATCTCTTAATAGTTATATACGCTTAGTTTCCCTTAATAGGGGAGTCTCTAGGATAAACTACAACATAGCTATAGAGGAATATAAGATAATTATAGTAGATATTAAAATAGCCTCTCTAGAACTAGGCTTTCTTTAGGCTAGTAAGTCTAAGGAACCCTAGTAGAAGTCTAACTTAGACTAGGACAGCAATATAAATATAGCTAGAGCGTAGTAGGCCTTATTAAGTGTACCTACTAAA